TCTAATTCTGAGTCTTGTGGCAGTGTAGTCCTGAAGAGCTCAGCGGCATTAAACCTCATTGATAGCACAGCCAAGACTCTGAGCTTCATCTGAATTGCTACTGCTAGTCACTTTGTGGTGGTTGTCTGCTTTGTTTTTGTTTCATGGCTCATTTGATTTTTCTCTGTTTGGCGTCACCATATCCTGGCAGATTAAATTATTTAATTTTTTAAAGCTTTTTTTTTGTCCTGGAACAACTACAAACATACACACACTTCAGCTGCCTGTCTTCATCTGTTCAATAGTAATAGACTTGAACCTTCTGGCTTTGAGGGCTTAGCACTGAGTCTGCCTGGAGATGACTCAATCGCAGCACTCCATCCCTTCTAATTCCTGTGAACACTTGTTCTCCTTCTGCTCTCTTGCCCATGCAAGTATTAGGACCCCAGCTGGGACTTCCTTACATGTGTGTGATGCTACTACCCATTCCCCCCAAAATATTTCTGTTCTGAGCTTTGGTCTATTGCTATATCCTCCTTTGCTCAACTTCCTGGCTCCCTTTAGTTTTCCCCATTTCACTTCAAAACCTGCTTCTTGTATTCCAGTGAATCCCAGCTTGCTTCATAGAGTTAGAAATACATGCAGCAATCATTTAACCTAAGACTTTCATGCAACCCCTTTTGGAATCCAAGTCAGGCTTGTCATCAGGACACTGGTTAGCAATCATGCAGTTTACTTCATATAGGTTTTGTGGTTTTCTTTCACCCTCCCATCGTCTGTGTCTACAGTAGGGTTTCTGCTACTACACTTGGATTTAACAATTTATATTTTTGTTTTACTCTTCCAAAAGACATTGCTAAGCAAACATCTTAAATGGTAAATCAAGTTTTGGCACATAGGATGCAACAGTCTAGAGAGGAAACCTAAAAATTCTGCGGCCTGCATTTCAAAGTGATGGTGTGGATGGGAAATATCCATATTGAGTGAGGGCAGGGAATGTTGTCAGACCACTATAGCCATACAGTCTACTGAGGACTGTGATCCTTACTTGACTTCTTTAATTTTTCCACTTTTCAGCAAATGCCCATCAGGAAATTTTTTTAGATGTCATTCTTCACTGTGGCAGCTCAGTTAAGAAGGGATTTATTTGTTCAGCACTGTAGGCACAGGTATAAATGGAAAAGAGCTTCTGGACCATTTCATTAAGCAGCTAGTATCTGCAGAACCACATGCAAGTACAGGGCTTGTTTCTGGGGTGTACTGTGTATCCATACCTGAAACTTGGGGCTTTGCTTGTCTGTTAAGGAATGAAGTTCAGCATTGTGATTTAAGTGCAAACCCATACAGAAAGCTTGTTACTGTCATCTGCAATGTAGCTATGATCTCTGACACAGCAGCTCCTTGGTGTGCTAGCACTACAAGTTTTTGGACATGCAGATGCATTCATTTCAGTCTGCTGAATTATGAATGAAATGATGTCCCTTTTAAATCCAAATCACATTGCAGTGTTCAGGAGACCATACACTTGGTGAAGTTGCAGATTAGCAAAGCAGCTAATGGATCATGTCTTATCCTATGTCATGGGTTAAATTTTGTTCAAGGAAACAAGCATTGCCCTAGGGAAATGCAGTTCTCAGGATTATGGCTGTCTGAAAGAGGGAAAATTGCTTTAGAAAAGTCTTCTGGAGGAGATGGGTGCAGTGCAGGTCAGATCGATAGTAAGGCTCATTCTTCTTCAAGTGGCATTGGGCACAACCAGTCCTTTTCCATAAAGCAGAGCCAAAGCAGGCATGTCATGTAAAGAATATGCATAGCAATTCAGCAAACGTATGTGTGTGTACTTAATTGTTGTGGGTTTTTTATGAACTAGGGTCTTAATTCTGCAGGGTTTTGCTGTTAGGCAGTAAGAGATAATACATCAAAGACTGATTATACTTAAGCTTGTGTTACTCCTTTAATGAGCTGATTTTATTGTCATCTTTTGCTTGTTGATAAATATAGCTTTTCAGAGTAAGTTAATTTTCTTGTAACTGAGATTGATGTTGTCAGAAGGTGTGTTGTTTTTTCGTAGCACGTGGAATCAAGAACAAGAGATCAGCAGATCTTCTAGGGGTTTCCCCTGTAGCAGTATCAGCAAATAGGCCATTTGTTCTTCCAGTCTTTATTGGCACTGCTCTCATGTGGTGGGGAATGCAAGCAGGAGTTTGTTATCATGGGATCTTCCTTGATTCCAGGCTCCTACCTATGAGTATGTGTGTCTGTACTTGCAGGCATGCAAAATAAAGTGCCCATTTGGTTTTATGGGTAAAAAGTGAGAGGGGTATTGGTGTCAGATCTCAACAGGATTTCCCTCCCAGTCATGTTGCTGGTTTAGCTTCACAGATCCTCCCAGCAAATGGAGTGCTTAGCCTTGCATGAGTTGCCTCAGAAAGCTTCCTGGGTATGAGAAGATGGAGCTTCTCTAAACACAGCCTTAATGAGAGACTCCTCCATCCTTTGCATCATTGTTTTCTGCCATTTGGGAGTGCAATCATCTGTGTAGGAAAAAACTTCTCTTTGGTGGCCTGTTTGTTTGCCATTTAGTAGTCTCAGGAGCTTCATAAACATTCAGTAGTTGAACTTTTCTGTTTTCCAGCTGGTATTTCTGCAGGAAGAAAAGTTAAGCTACTGAGACTTAAAAAATGGTGCTGGCTTGTAGCCTAGACAATTTAGAGATTAAAAATAAAAAGGAAATTCAGGTACTATACTCCTTGTACAGATGCTGTTTTAATTTTGATGGTTTGAGTGGCAGTAATTTTCTATTTTAAAATAACCTTTTCCCATCTCCTTTGTCTCAGGAGAAAAGAGATACAAAATAAGCAAGGCAGGAGTGGGCATGGGGGAGGCGTATGTGCAGCCTCCCTGGGCTCTCTGTTTTAGCTTGACTTTTAAGTCAAGCTAAGCTTGGATCTTGATCTGGGCTTTAGGGCTAGAGGCTGGCCTTGGAGTATTGACTTCCCACCCTGCATGTAGTCAGCTGTAGGTGTCTGGGCTGACAGAGGCAGTGTGTGGAGGCAGAGATAAAGGCTGCTCACATGCCTAAAATCTGTCAGTTTTGGTCCTTAATTGCCTCAAGGAGGGCTTCTACATGTATAGGCTCTGTTTCCTTTCTGCTTTTCTGGCCCAGTGAAGACCTTGCTGTGCAGCATCAACAAAAGGGGCAAGTGCCCATCAGTGTGGATGAGTTGCTCCAGGAGCTGTAAACAAAAGCACGTTGAAGAGCAAAAGGGAGTTGAAGAGCAAAAGGGAGTGCCGTGACCACTGGTTTAACAGAAGGCAGTGGCTGCCGCCCTGTTTCATAAGGGCCCTGATCCTGTCCATGCATTTCACATATGGCTTGGAAGCTCCTCTTGGGTTGATCCACTTGGAGAACATGGAGGAATGGTTCACTTTTTGGTCCCAATGGGTCTGAAATTAATGCTGACTTGTTAGTAGTTTTGTGAGGTCTGGTAGCTTTGAGTATAAGCAGTTGTTAGGGTCCTGGCAAGCTCGAAGGAATAAAGGTTGGAGATGGCTTGCTTTCAGGTTCAGGGATACCAAAGTAGATGTTTTGTCTTTTGGCATGAGCAACTGAGTGCCTGAGTTAGAATGGATCTTGCCATGCTGATCATGTCAGAGCCTCTGGCTTGCTTAAATAAATCACGCCTATTTTGTCATCAGAAGAGCTTGCAACTGTTTTTACTTGCAAAATCACTGATTATGTATCCATGGAGCATCCTCTTCTGGCCCCAATTAAAGGCTGAAGCCGATGTGACTTGACATATTTTGTGAGTGAAGGCTTGTTAATTGAGCGTGTAAATGTGTAATTGTCTGTACAGTAATCCAATTGATTTTTGTTTAGCTTTGCATTTAAATATGGGGCCACAGTCATGCAGTTGGGCAAATTTTCCAAAAGCAGGTGTTGAATTCAGTACGTGCATTTGAACATACGGGTGGGAGCACCCTTAAAAAGATGAATCCAGTTGTGGTAGCCTCCTCTTTTCTTTAGGTATGTGGATATGCTAATCTGAGTGTTTTCATCTGGGCCTGTCACATAGCATAGTTTCACCTCTGTCTTTTCTCCTACTAAATATGTTTCATTGGTGTGGGAAATAACAGTTACAATAGAAATTGTTCAGAGGTTGCTGTTCACATGTGTGCTGGCTTTTAGTGAACCTTTTGCTTATAGTGGTTGGTGCTACAATGCTTTTAAAACAGTTCTATTCCATATGAAATATTAATCTGAAATGTGGCGAGTTTTAGAGAAAAGCCTACTTAAATAATGGGAGTTGTTGACAGTTGCAGCCCAGTGCAACTTCTGAGAAGCAAAAAATGCTGTTCAATTTGCAGATAAAGGTATGCTTGAAGTTTCTCTGTACTCAGTGGTTTCTCTGTTTGGGAGCTGCTGATTTGCAAAGATTGAGTGATCTGGCAGTTTTGACCTTGCAATTCTTATCTGTTGCAGTGAATAAGACTCCAAACAGCTCATGTTTGAGGTCTGCAGTGTTCATTTCCTGTGACAGAAAACCCAGTCTTACTGCTTTTCTTTATAACATGTCCTTTTGTATAAAATTAAACACTGATCCAATGTATTTTGAAGTGGTTTTAAAAAAATAATATAGAACAGTAGTTTCAGGAACATGTTCCCAAGTAGTGTTAGAGCTGTGCCATGGATGTGAACATGGGATTGACAGCTTTGTCTGTCCAAGAGTAGTCTGTTCTTATTCATAGATCCACAGGATATTTTGGGTTGGAAAGGTCCTTTAGGGATCATCTATTCCAACCCTCCTGCTGTGGGCAGGGACATCTTGCACTAGATCAGGTTGCTCAGAACCCCTTTCAACCTGACCTTGAACGCATCCAGGAGGCTTTGTCTCCCAGCTTCATGGGAGTGTTGTAAATAACACCCCAAGCAGGGGTGTGAACAGTGTCAGAGTTGGGGATGCTGTTTTAACCTGAGTGACAACCACTCCCCTAACACCCTTTTCCCTGTTTCTCTGCAGATGTCGCTCCTATGAGGATTGCTGTGGTTCAAGATGCTGTGTAAGAGCGCTCTCTATCCAGCGACTATGGTATTTTTGGTAGGTCAGAGCATTTGGGAATTACGTTTGTCCTGTTCTTCTTTTACTTGTAGGACTTAAATCAGGTTATTGCCAGGCCTTGTATTTTCAAGTAGAATAGGTACAAGTATACACTAATGTGTATGTGTACATATAAATGCATGGACTTTGGTTTTTTGCTTATAAAATTCTCCCAATAGAGAGAATGCTGCTTGTGTCAGGTTGACCTTTCCTACTTCTCCATCCCAGTGGGTTGTACAGGCAGTGGTCCTGTTTTTACCCAAAATTGCTGAATTCCTTATGCCTGTCCCAGCTACTACCAAGTGGCAGTGTCAGGCCATTTTTGATGGGCACTCAGTTTTGAAAGAGGATTGTATAAGGAGGATTGTGCATTTAGGCAGGGTTTAAGAAATTCTTGCCAGCTGAATTGAGGCTTCAATTTAAAAGCAAGAGAAGTACATTTATGACTATAAGGTTTTCACTGGAGATGGCAGCAAAGGAAAAGAAGGCAGAAAGATTTGAGCTTGTGAAACCAGCAGCTCAGTAATCTGGATAAAGCTTAAACTAATCACTGTTACATGCACAATGAAAGAATAAGGTAAATTCATCTTGAAGAGGAATTTAAGAAAGAACCTGAATAAAACCTTCTCATTACAGTAGAGAAAATGGAGAAGCTCTCCTAAAAAATGTTTATGGAGAATTTGAAGGCTGCTTATAAAAAAAAAAGCAAGCCTTCAAAATTGAAACAAATAAACACTGAAAACCAGAAGCTCGATATATTCCATAATACAGAGATTTGCTGCATCTGACTGGGATTTCAGTGTACAACCCTTCCTGATGTAACTGAAGAGCGCTGCATCTGAATCCCTGGGGTGACGTCGTAAATCTCTGCTTTTCTGTGCAGAACAAATCCTTTGCAGGAATG